TTCAACACTTTCACCTCACTCACACATAATCACTGTTTTTGCAGAGGTGCTCAGAACACAACAGTTCAGAAGCATATACGTATAAAGATACACAACATATCCCTCCAAACTGCTAATATCCCAAAACCCCTCCTTTCGAGTGCAGGCATTGTACTTCCCATTTCCAGGACTCAAGTCCGGCTATATAAAAATAACCGGTTTCCCTGAATCCCTTCACTAAATATTACCCTGCTCACACTCCAACAGTTCGTCAGGTCCCAAATACCATTCGTCTCCATTCACTCCTATCGAACACGCTCATGCACGCCTGCTGGAAGTCCAAGCCCCTCGCCCACAAAACCTCCCTTACCCCTTCCTTCTAACCTTTTTGAGGACAACCCCTACCCCGCCTTCCTTCTCCTACAGATTTAAATGCTCTCCATGTCATTCTACTTTGATCCATTCTCTCTAAATGACCAAACCACATCAACAACCCCTCTTCAGCCCTCTGACTAATACTTTTATTAACTCCACACCTTCTCCTAATTTCCACACTCCAAATTTTCTGCATAATATTTACACCACACATTGCCCTTAGACAGGACATCTCCACTGCCTCCAACCGCCTCCTCGCTGCTGCATTCACAACCCAAACTTCACATCTCATATTTATGTTAATTTCTTCTACTGTGGGGGTGTATTTAGATGGATTAAGCAAAATGTCTATATTAACGTTTTATACGATATTTAATGCTCCTTAGTGATTATTATTGTGTTATTATTATTATCATTATTAATATGGCATCTTCAAGACTAATAACACACTCTTAGTGACTTTAATGTGCACTTGCATGTTAGCAGTGTGTAAGTTTACTTAGGTACAGGTACACATACGTATAATTATGAGTTATAATAATAATGTAGGTATGTAGTCTGCCTGGGCTACATACCTACACCTACCTACATAGCTACACGATATTTAACCCTCTGACTGTTTTGGTTGTATATATACATCTTACGATCCAGTGTTTCAAACGGATTAATATGCATAAGTTCTAGCGGCTTCAAATCAAGCAGGAGAAAGCTGGTAGGCCCACATGTGAGAGAATGGGTCTGTGTGGTCAGTGTGCACCACATAAAAAAAATCCTGCAGCACGAAGTGCATAATGAGCAAAAAAAAAAAAAAATTGACCGTTTGTTTTGGATTAAAATGCCGACTTTGAGGTGTATTTTCGTATAGTATTTATCGCTGTATTCTCGTCTTCATGGTATCGTATGATAAAATGGAAAACATATTACAGAAATAGAGATGATTTTGATTAGTTCCATGAAGAAAACGACCTTGAAATTGAGCTCAAAGTAGTGGAAATGTTCGATTTTTACAAATGTTCAGGAGTAAGCAAATCACACCACACGTCCAATACACGTCAACTGGGGAATCTAACATTCTTTCACTAGTGCACTGATATTATTTATACAATTTTTACAATAATGCAGTAGTCTGCATAACAGTAAATTTTGTATTTTTTGTATGAATAAAAAATCAAAATAGAAAGCAATAGTAATATAAGAGGGGCCTAGAGACGTGACTAATGAACAGAGGATATGTTATATTTGTGCCAAGAATGTCTACATTGTTTATTCTGGACCCTATTTTGAAAGTGGCATCTTTTTTAATTTGCATGAAATTGGCCAAACTGCCAATATCTGACCACTTTATTGGGTAGTTCAAATCAGTAAATGGGCGGTTTCTTGCACTCAACTGATAGAAAAAAAAATGGAGTTCTAAAGAAATAGCTATGTTTGGTCAACTGGAACAACGGAATTGGTCAAAATCAGTGCTCAAAGTCGGCGAAATAGCCGATGCGTATATGTCGCCGAGACCGATAACTTTGCAGGAGTGTAATTCCGTGAGTTTTCAACCAAATTTCGCACTTTTGGTGTCATTACCATTTGGAAAAGATTCTCTATCATTTCATAAGAAAAAGAAAATTTTTTTTCCCAAAAATTTGGCGACATAGAATGACAGTTTCAGAAAGGGGGTTGCGACAGCCAAAGGGTTAATGTGGCCCAGAGACATATTACCATTGACATACTATGTCACTGACTTTAATCATTTCTAACAACTACCTTTAGATGCCATCATTAACAAAGGGAGAAGTAATGAATAATTCAAGCCGAGAATTGTCAACAAAAGCGTTATGTATTAAGGGTAGTGACGTAATGTTTTCCCTCCGCCCGGCTACCACACCTCCATAGTGTATAAACAAAATGTTTATATGATATGTAATGTGTTTCTTACATAATTTAAGAAAATATAATAGATGGATTAATGAAAATGTCTATATTAAAATAAAATAAGACATTTAATGTGCCCAAGAGTGATTATTATTAGTATTACATAATGTTTTCCCTCCACCCAGCAACCACACCTCCATAGCATATAAACAGTATGTTTATATGTTATGTAACGTGTTTCTTATATAATTTTGAAGAAAATATCATAGATGGATTAATGAAAATGTCTATATTGACATAAAATTAGACATTTCATGTGCCCAAGAGTGATTATTACATAATCAAACAAACCGGGTGGCCCGCGCCGTATTTGAAAGACCACTTGCCGTATAGAAAGTTTTGGTCATAATTTGAGATCGCTGTATTAGCGGAATGCCGTAAGGCAAAACGCCAAAAAGCGGGGCCCTGCTGTACATACTAATTTTTTATAATATTAGATGTGTTTCAAGGTGTTTTAGCACTTCAAACACTGCTTCCCTTGGAATAATCGCTGTACAGTGGAACTCCAGTTTCTGTACTTAATCCGTTCCAGAATATCGGTCTAAAACCGAAACGTACAAAAACCGAATTAATATTTCCCATAACAAATCATGTAACTACAATTAATCTGTTCCAGACACCCAAAAATATTAACAATAAATTTTTTAAAGAATAACTATAGTTTTGCATACAGAAAACAATGAGAAATAAACATAAATGACTAATTTTAATGATAAATGAACATTACATACCTTTATTGAAGACTCTCATTGGCGTACTGAAGGCGAGGAGGGGAGAGGGAGTTGAGTTATTGTTTGGAAGGTAAATTCCCCTCCATAAGGACTTTAGGTATCAAAGCCCTCTCTGGGATTATTTGCCTTCTTTGTTTTTTACTGGCAGTGGACCCCTGTTGCACTCAAAATCTGTCCAGAGAGCTCCATTTCTGGCATCTCTTTAAAATTTGCCTAAAATGGGACAAGGTATTGTCACTGAACATGTTGCAGATACGACTTGTATCAGCTTTGTCAGGGTGATATTTTTCAACAAAAGTTTGCAACTCATTCCACTTTGTACTTATGTCCTTAATCACTGAAGAAGGCACCTTCTCTCCTCTTTCTTCCTCCTCCTCTGAAGCAATTTCCTCAGCTGTGGTCTGTTGCTGTTCCAGATGAAGGTCTTGCAGCTCTTCAGTGTTAGCTCTTCCCTGTGGTCCTCCACCAACTCTTCCACATCCTGGCCACTCACATCCACGACATGGACTTCCCCAACGACACAATACATTCCACAACACCTTCTTTACCATAGGGCTGGCACTAGGAACTTTCTTTGGGCCCATGGTGGCTTATTTCGCGGTCGCAATTAATAAATAAGCACCAAAATTGCAAAATGTTTCGGATGAATGCTCACTCAACCAGTGACAAAGCCAGGCTGATGGCATTCCCGGGTGGGCGGACACGTATGATATGTACAATTTCCGGATCGAGGTACGAAATCTGGACCAAAATTTCACCCAAAAACGTGTTCTAAATCCGAATTGTATGATGTGCGGCCCGTACGAAAACCGGAGTTCCACTGTATATATAATATGACTGGCTTTTATTCTTTTTTTTTTTTTTTTAATATTTTGGTCTTCTAAGGCTATGATACAAGGAATATTTACAACATTACAATTATGTCCTTAAAACATGGAAATAAGTAAGACTACATAATTGTTATTTATTATATTTTTTCTACTACTTTGGTCTTCTAAGGCTATGTATAATAACACATAATTATTCGCACTGTTTGACTTTGAATATGAAAATGTTTGTTTCCTTTAAAAGCTTACATTCTGTGGTTTACATATTATAAAATACTAATCACAAAGAAGGCCTCTAGCATGCCTAGGCATTTTGGGGAGACTAATCCTAATTCTTACTCTATACTGACACAGGTTATGGAGCAGTACATTTTAATATACCTTATTGTATACTAGGTAACTGAAGTGATTAATTAGATTTATAATGAGGTAGTACAAAACATATAACAATATTACAATTAGTAATTTTAGTAATGGGAATGGTTAAGTCTTGGCATGATACACTGTTTCAATTAAAGCTCCTATCTTAGGCAAACTTAGGGCTAACTGGGTTACCCTGGGTTATATACCTAGTGTGTTTTGTGCCTAAATTTCACTGTTAGTATTATGAAAGTGTAATACATCTGGACTGAATAAATCATCTTTAACCCTTTGACTGTTTTGGTCATATATATACGTCTTACTAGCCACTGTTTTTGACGTATATATACTCATAAATTCTAGCGGCTTCAAATCAAGCAGGAGAATGCTACACAAATAACCCGCACATAAAAGAGAGAAGCTTACGACAACGTTTCGGTCCGACTTGGACCATTGACAAAGTCACACTAACCAGAAGTGGAGCAGGACGGCTATATATAGGCAGGAAGAGGTGGTGGTGGTAGTAGTAGCAGTAGTAGTAGTAGTACAAGAATAGTATATAATACCGACAAGATGAAATTAAGACCCGCGCAACACTGTGACATCAGCACATTTCTGGCAAGACAGTGAGCTGCAAGACTCGCCTGCCATGGGTTCGAGCTCCACTCATTCTGCGATTTACCTCCTTTACAATATGGAACACTTACGTATTAGCAGCTGGAATGGTGATGACCATATATGTACTATCTTGGTGGAAATATACACTGAAATACTATATATACCCCTTTCAAGAAAGATTCCTTACCAGTATTCTAAAAAAGTTACTAATAAATTTGTTGGCTGAACTGAGGCTTCCATTTCCACAGTTGGTGATGGATTTGGTGCATCGGGAGAATCTGGAATTGGTGGTGTGATACCACGATCAAGTGTGTTGGCTGGGGAGGGTGGTGTGGAAGGGTCTGTAGCAGTCGTGAGGGCCGTGATGAAGTTGCGATTAAGGTGAACTGCTTCATATAATGCCAACAAAAATGAGTCATTTGCCCTGTAAGGAAAATCTGCTGTTAACCTATGTTACACTAAATGGTTTTATGTGGTGCTAATCATTTTATATGCAAATATAATTATGCAAACTTAAGAATCTAAAAGAAAAAATTATTTAAATGAATTAAACCTGATAAGCAATTCAGAAAGCATACCCTATATCCACGGGGGATATGTTCCAAGGACCCATGGAGACCGAAACCACAGATAGCAGCAAACCCTAAATGTAAGTCCTATACATACCTATTATAAAGCTTAGATGATAAATATATGCACAACAAGTGGAGAATTATGACTTTTTCACTCATGGTTTCTTTTGGGCTCTGAAGAACTGCCAGCTTCTCTACTTTTGCACTTTGGGGCTATTATTATGCCAAATTAAGAGGTATTTTTGGGCCACAGTAAACCATGAATAATTGAAACAGCAGATACTGAATCAGTGGATACAGAGGTTCTATTGTACTATAAATGAACCACTGATGTTGTCTTACCCTACTGATATACAGTACTATAATAAAAAAGGGATGTTATATATGTATTTTTTAATATGTCGGCCATTTACCACCAAGGCAGGGTGATCCAAAAACAAAGAAAAAAACTTTCATCATCATTCAATACTTTCACCATCACTCACACATAATTACTGTCTTTGCAGAGGCATTCAGATACGACAGTTTAGATGTCCCTCCAAACTGCCAATATCCCAAATCCCTCCTTTAAAGTGCAGGCATTGTACTTTCCATTTCCAGGACTCAAGTCCGGCTAACCGGTTTCCCAAAATCCCATCACAAAGTATCACCTTGCTCACACTCCAACAGCTCGTCAGGTCCCAGAAACCATTCATCTCTGTTCACTCCTATCTAACACGTTCACGCACACTTGCTGGAAGCCCAAGCCCCTCGCCCACAAAACCTCTTTTACCTCCTCCCACCAGCCTTTTCAAGGACAACCCCTACCCCACCTTCCTTCCTTCCCTCCCCTACAGATCTATATGCTCACCATGTCATTTTACTTTGTTCCATTCTCTCTAAATGACCAAACCACCTCAACAATCCCTCTTCAGCCCTCTGACTAATACTTTTAGTAACTCCACACCTCCTCCTAATTTCCACACCATGAATTCTCTGCATAATATTTACACCACACACTGCCCTTAGACATGACATCTCCACTACCTCCACCCTCCTCCTCGCTGCAGCATTTACAACCCATGCTTCATACCCGTATAAGATTGTTGGTACCACCATACTCTCATACATTCCCTTGTTTGCCTCCATGGATAACGTTTTTTGTCTCCACAGATACCTCAACACATCACTCACCTTTTTTCCTTCATCATTTCTATGGTTAACCTCATCCTTCATAAACCCATCTACTGACAAGTCAGCTTCCAAATATCTGAACACCTTCACTTCTTCCATGCTCCCTCCCTCCAAAGTGATATCCAAATTTTCTCTATCTAAATACTAGTTTGATACCCTCATCACTTTCCTTTATCTATGTTCACTTTCAACTTTCTACCTTTACACGCCCTCCCAAACTCGTCCACTGTATGTTTGCAGGAATTACTAGTTATGCTTTTAATATACGTACTTTATGTGCTCATTGCGTGTAGCCATTTCTTCTGACAAGAACATAGAGCCGACCATTGAAGTGAGAGATGCGAACCATCCAGAACCCTGAGGCTCCATGAAGTGTGCAGAGTATTTATGATTGAAGTCTGCCAATGAAGCTGTGATCACCTGTGTAATGTAAAAACTAAACTGTGAAAAACCTGACAAAATTTTCTGTAGATTAAAACTTTTAATTTTTTTTTTATATGAACATAAGTAGGTAATTTCTGTAATGAACTTAATTTCATACTCTCTCTTTAGCTTATTTAACTGCATGTTTTGTAGTTATTTGTTAAACCTATGAAAAAATTATATAATATCAAGAATGCATCTCCATGGGGAAGTGGAACAGAATTCTTCCTCCGTAAGCCATGCGTGTCATAAGAGGCGACTAAAATGCCGGGAGCAAGGGGCTAGTAACCCCTTCTCCTGTATATATTACTATATGTAAAAGGAGAAACTTTCGTTTTTCCTTTTGGGCCACCCCGCCTCGGTGGGATACGGCCGGTGTGTTGAAAGAAAGAAAGAAAGAAAGATCAAGAATGTATATATGAATAATGACAACAGGCTAGTAGTCATCAAATAAATATTAAAGGCAACACATGTTACACTAGTCTTTGGGAAAAAATAGAACAAGACAAAACAAAGTAAACACTTAAAACCTTGAACCAATATTTCATGGTGATTTAAAATGCTCTTGATAAAAGAATATCTAAAATTTATGATACATTCTCACAGAAAAAAGCTGCCAGCTGCTCACCTGTCCATAACCATTGAGGATGAGTTCATCATCCAGTAGAGACAGATTGACAGTGTATGGGTTGGTCATCTCATGTTTACGATAATTTACCATAAGCATAAGGTATAAGACAGCCTCAGGTCCATGCTGGTTACGTGTACTGGAATGACTTAAAAGCTGAAAATTCAGAATAATTTGTTAAATGTGCATCCAGTATGCCCATTTATACTTCTAGAAAATAATATGAAAGCTGAATGATCAGAATCTAAAATTCTACCTTGTCCATAATAATCACCATATTAATGCATTACATTTGCTCTACTGGTGTCAGAGATGTCAGTGGAGTAAATACAGCCTCTCCTCACTTAGCGGTATACTCGTTTACCGACGACTCGGACTTACGACGGGCTCTCTGACCAGTATGCATACGTAAATAATACATATTACAGCTGATTTTCTTAATTATGTTTATTACAATATACAGTACACTGCTGTATAAACATTTAAAAATACAGTGGACCCCCGCATAACGATCATCTCCGAATGCGACCAATTATGTAAGTGTATTTATGTAAGTGCGTTTGTACGTGTATGTTTGGGGGTCTGAAATGGACTAATCTACTTCACAATATTCCTTATGGGAACAAATTCGGTCAGTACTGGCACCTGAACATACTTCTGGAGTGAAAAAATATCGTTAACCGGGGGTCCACTGTATACCAGAAATGTTATAAATGGTGCAAATGTGACATTAAAACAATATCAAAGCTGGATGACACAAACCCACTACCATTATAGTATGCTCCTCACTTAGTGACGAATTTGTTTACCAATGTGGTCTTAGGAATGGAACTCTGTTGTACTATCTTGAGATTTTTTCCCGTGTTCCTTCACTGTCTCAACCACCCACCCATGAAATGTAAGCCCTAACTTTTGTCTTTGGATTACATGATAAATATAATGGTGGAAAGATTATATATAAAAGCAGAATATGCATAATACAATAGAGTATAATACATTATTCAACCAATATTGAGATTAAGTTACCAAAATGAGTGAAGGAATGATAAAAGAAAGAAAAAAGGGTATGACAAGGACTCAAAAATATCTTTTTAATCCTGAATAAAATAACTCTGCACCTCTGCAAAGACAGTAATAGTGTGAATGATGGTGAAAGTGTTTGTTTTTCTTTGGGGTCACCCTGCCTTGGTGGGAGACAGCCAGTGTGTTAAAAAAAAAAACCAAGTAGAAAACTGAAATCACACTCAGAGTTACTTATGGGCAAAGTAGAATTATGAATAATCAAAGTAGTATATATGTCTGTATAATGTTTGACAGGAAACAGGAAGTTTCCTGACACAGGTCTTAGTCATACGACAACCTGAAGCTGATGTCTTTGGTTATCTGACCAAGGCCTTCCTCTGGCTTAGCAGTCTACCCCTTTAATTTTTTTTTTCAACATGTCGGCAGGGTGACCCAAAAAAGAAACACTTCGACTTAATCATTTCAACAACTACCTATAGATGCCACATTGACAAAGGGAGAAGAATGAATTATTCAAGCCGAGAATTGTCACACAAAAGCGTTATGTATTAGGTAATTACTTAATGTTTTCCCTCCGCCGCGCTACCACACCTCATAGTGTATAAACAAAATGTTTATATGATATGTAATGTGTTTCTTACATAATTTAAGAAAGTATAAATAGATGGATTAATGAAAATTGCTATATTATAATAAAATAAACATATAATGTCCCAAGATGATTATTATTAGTATTTAAATAATGTTTTCCCTCCACCCAGCAACCACACCTCCATAGCATATAAAAGTAATTTTATATGTTCTGTAAACGTGTTTCCTTATATAATATTTTTGAAGAAAATATCAAGTTGGATTAATGAAAATGTCTATAATTGACATAAAATTGGAGACATTTCCATGGTGCCCAAAGTGATTATTAGCATCATCAAACAAACCGGGTCTGGCCGCGCCGTATTTGAAAGACCACTTGCCGTATAGAAAGTTTTGGGTCCATATTAGAGATCGCTGTAGTAGCGAATGGCCGTAAGGCAAAACGCCAAAACCGGGGCCCCTGCTGTAACATACTAATTTTGATAAATATAGATGTGTTTCAAGGTGTTTTAAGCACTTCAAACACTGCGTTCCCTTGGAATAATCGCTGTACAGGTGGAACTCCATGTTTCTGCGTACTTAATCCGTCCAGAATATGCGTCTAAACCCGAGGAACACTGTACAAAATCCGAATTTAATATTTCCCATAACAAATCATGTAACTACACAATTAATCTGTTCCAGACACCCAAAAATATTAACAATAAATATTTTAAAGAATAACTATAGTTTTGCATACAGAAAACAATTGAGAAATAAACATAAATGACTAATTTTAAGATAAATGAACATTACATACCTTTATTGAAAGACTCTCATTGGCTACTGAAGCGAGGAGGGTCGAGGGAGTTGAGTTTTAATTGTTTTGAAGGAAAATTCCCCGCCATAAAGACTTTATGTTATCAAAGCCCTCTCTGGGATTAGTCCTTCTTTGTTTTTACTGCAGTGACCCCTGTTGCACCAAAAATCTGTCCAGAACTCCATTTCTGGCATCTCTTTAAAATTTGGCCTAAAATGGGACAAGGTATTGTCACGAGAACATGTTTGCAAGATACGACTTGTATCAGCTTTGTCAGGGTGATATTTTTCAACAAAAGTTTGCAACTCAATCCACTTGTACTTATGTCCTTAATCACTGAAGAAGGCACCTTCTCTCCTCTTTCTTCCTCCACCTCTGAAGCAATTTCCTCAGCTGTGGTCTGTGCTGTTCCAGATGAAAGGTCTTGCAGCTCTTCAGTTGTTAGTCTCTTCCCTGTGGTCCACACCCACCTCTTCCAAAATCCTGGCACTCCACATCCACTACATGGACTTCCCAACAGACACAATACATTCCACAACACCTTCTTTACCAAGGGCTGGCACTAGGAACTTTCTTCATTGGGCCCCATGGTGGCTATTTCGCGGTCGCAATTAATAAATAAGCACCAAAATTTCAAAATGTTTCGGATGAATGCTCATATCAACCAGGACAAAAAAAAGCACAGGCTGAATGAGCATTCCCCCCGTGTGGGCGTACACGATGATATGTACAATTTCCGGATCGAAAACGAAGGTAAACGAACTCTGGACGCAAAAGTTCACACCAAAATCGTTGTTCTAATCCGAATTGTATGAGTGCGGCCCGTTACGAAACCCCGAGTCCACTGAATATATACTATGACTGCTTTTAATTCTTTTTTTTTCTTTTGTTAATATTTTGGTCTCTAAGGCTAGGATACAAGAATATTTACAAACATTAACAATTATGTCCTTAAACATGGAAATAAGTAAGACTACATATTGTTATTTATTATATTTTTTTCTACTACTTTGGTCTCATAAGGCAATGTATAATAACACATAATTATTCGCACTGTTATTGAACTTTGAATATGAAAATGTTGTTTTCCTATTAAAAAGCTTACTTCTGTGGTTTACATATTATAAAATACAATCACAAAGATGGCTCTAGCATGCTAGGCATTTTGGGGAGACTAATCTATTCTTACTCTATACAGAGACACAGGTTATGGAGCAGTACATTTGAATATACCAGTATTGAGTATACTAGGTAACTGAATGATTAATTAGATTTAATAATGAGTAGTACAAAACATATAACTATATTATCAATTAGTAATTTTAGTATGGGAATGGTTAAGTCCTTGGCATGATACACTGTTTCAATTAAGCTCTATCTTAGGCAAACTTAGGGCGTAACTGGGTTACCCTGGTTATATATACCTAGTGTATTGTGCCTAAATTTCACTGTTAGTATTATGAAAGTGTAAAAACAGCCTGTACCTGAATAAATCATCTTTAACCCTAGACTGTTTTGGTCATATATATACGTCCTTACTAGCCACTGTCTTGACGAATATATACACATAAATTCTAGCGGCTTCAATCAAGCAGAGAATGCTACACAAATAATCCCGCACATAAAAGAAGAAGCTTACTACAACGATTCTGTCCGACTTGGTCCATTGACAAAGTCACACTAACCAGAAGTGAGCAGACGGCTATAAATAGCAAAGGAAGAGGTGGTGGTGGTAAGTAGTAGCAGTAAGTAGTAGTAGTACAAGAATAGTATATAATACCGACAAGATGCGAAATTGACCCGCGCAACACTGTGAACCTCAGCACATTTCTGGCAAACATGGAGCCTGCAAGACTCGCCTGCCATGGTTCGAGCTCGCACTCATACGGTCTGTTCTGCGATTCTACCTTCCTTTACAATATGGCACCACTTACGAATAGCACTGAATGGCGTGATGACCATATATGTTTAGCTATCTTGGTGGTAATATACACTGAAATACTAGATCATACCCTTTCAAGAAAGATTCCCTCTACCAGTATTCTAAAAAAGTACGATAAATTTGTTGGTTGCTGAACTAGGCTTCCATTTGCCACAGTTGGTTGATTGGATTTGGTGCGCATCGGAGAAATCTGGAATTGGTGGTGTCGATACCACGATACAAGGGAGTGGGCTGGGGAGGGTGGTGGGAAGGGTCTGTAGCATTCGGAGGGCCGTGATGGGGAAAGTTGCCGATTAAGGTGGAACCGCTTCATATAATGCCAAACAAAAATGAGTCCATCTTGCCCTGTAAGGAACATCTGCTGTTAACCGATGTGATCACTAAAATGGTTTTTAGGTGGTGCAATCATTTTATAAATGCAAATATAATATGCAAAAACTTAAGAATCTAAAAGAGAAAAATTATGTAACTGAATTAAACCTGATAAGCAATTCAGAAAGCATACCCATATCCACGGGGATATGTTCCAAGGACCCTGAGACCGAAACCACAATAGGCAGCAAACCCCTAAATGTAAGGCTCCAATACATACCTATTATAAGCTTTGATGATTAATTTAATGCACATAACAAGTGAAGAATTATGACTTTTTCACTCATGGTTTCTTTTGGGCTCTGAAGTATCTGCCACTTCTCTACTTTTGCACTTTGGGGCTATTATTATGCCAATTAAGAGGTATTGTTTTGGGGCCACAGTAAACATGAATAATTGAAACAGCAGATATGAATCATGCTACAGAGAGTTCTATGTACTATAAAGTAACCACTGATGTGTTCCTTACCCTCTACTGATATACATTAACTATAACATAAAAAAGGGAATGTATATATGTATTTTTTTAATATAGTCGGCCATTTACCACCAAGGCAAGGTGATCCAAAAACAAAGAAAAAAACTTTCATCATCATTCAATACTTTCACCTCACTCACACATAATTAAATGTCTTTGTCAGAGGCATTCAAAACGACATTTAGATTCCCTCCAAAACTGCCAATATCCCAGGATCCCTCCTTTTAAAGTGCAGCATTGTACTTCCATTTCCAGACTTCAAGTCACCCGGCTAACCGTTTCCCAAAATCCCAATCAACAAAGTATCAACGTGCTCACACTCCAACAGCTCGTCAGGTCCCAGAAAACCATTCACTCTGTTACACAACTCCTACTCACACGTTCACAAGCAATCTACATTGCTGGAAGCCCAAGCCCCTCGCCCACAAAAACCTCTATTACCTCCTCCCACAGCCTTTCAAGACAAACCCCTACCCCACCTTTCCTTTCCTTCCCCTCCCCTACAGATCCTCTATATGCTTCACCATTTCTTTTACTTTGTTTCCATTCTCTCTAAATGACCAAACCACCTCAACAAACCCTCTTCAGCCCTCTGACTAATACTTTAGTAACTCACACCTCCTCCTAATGTCCACACCATTAATTCTCTTGCATAATTATA